AAAGTTTAACCAGGGGTCTATAATTCCTTTAATTTCCTGGGAAATTATGTCAAAGTCTACCCTTCAGATACTTTATGCAACACCGATCTAGCCACACAAATGCGAAATAATATCTACAAAAGAATTCTGTTTCCCCAAATAACTCCACTCTATTGTAAGCTTTATGAAAAAAAAAAAAAAAAAAAAAAAAGTGTATGGAAGAAACTAGCAATCACCTAGAACCTCTAGATAGACCATAGCCCAGTTGATCCTCTCCATCCTCCTTTTTATCAACCTGTATGAAGCTTCCTTAAGAAGACACGGTGAAAACTACTAATGACTCACAGAGGAAGAAGTTTTAGACCTAACTCTAATATTTTTTGCAGCAACTGGCACTTTCACAAAGCTCAATTCTTTGACATCGAAGTCAATGGAGAAAAGATACGTCTCTTGGTTCAAATTACATTAGGATAGCAATACAGCATTGTGAGAATATGTACCCACCTCCAATTTATAGATGCTAATCAACAACATTTATCCTATCAGAATTCGATGCTCCACAGATCACTTTTGAGTAGATAAATTATATTTACACAACTGAAACCCCAAAGGAAACAATTGTATAATTATCTGAATACCAGTGAATGAAAAAGACAATGAGGAAGTAGCTTAGCAAGGACTTTCCCATGCAGAGGGTTCTACACTCTTGTCTCATCCTCTCATAGTCTCGGGTGGGCTTCTATATAGGCATCAGTCCAAAACAGTGCCAACAAAAAAAAGTATGAAAATATGAATTATAGATTATTCAGAATATGAGCAGCTTTCCTGTGCAAATAATGCACAGCTTAAACGAACATTCAATGGCAAGCAGATGTGTGTTGCAATTGTCTACGTAAAGTTTACATCGCACATAAATGTAATCTAAGGAATCAATTACAGTCTAAAAAACTTCATGTTTTACACACACACTTGAATTTTTCACTGGCAACCCTGACAGACCTCCCTCCAAAACTTCATGGATTTACATGTCTCCCAAAAAGTATTCATCAAATGCTTTGTCTTCCAGTTCCTTGTTGTGACTACTAGACTATTTTGGATATATTTGGGATCTGCTTATTGTGGTAAAGTGTTGCTATTTTCACGTTTCTAATTTTGGCATGGAGATAATCATGTTTAGAACTTGAAAGGCTTCAACAGAGAGTCAAAGCTTAAGACTAAATCCGTAAATAATTAAGATCACATATAGAACCTGTTTATCTAAGATATACCAGGGGTTTTCATTCACTCATAATACTCCAAAGCACTATTTGCTAGGTGGGTGATCAAGACTCCGCAGTGAAGACTGATGCTTCACTTATAGGTGAAGATCCAACACTGCCTCAAGAATGTGCTAAAGCAAACTTCTTACTTGTATCATACTTAACATCTCACTAGCATTCTGATTGACTCAGACTTTGGTATTGATTTTCAAGCAAAACCTCCCACATTCAATTCTACTTATTTGGATCTCAAGCAAATTCTCCCACGTTCAAAAAGCAAAACCTCTCATGTTCAATTCTACTTATTTGGATCATATTTACATTGAGAATGCTAACACCAAGTCACCAACCTTATTTTCAAGCCATGGATAGACACAAGTGATGACAAAACTAATTACCATATTACCCTATGTCACATAGTAACCCCTGCCAACAGAGAAAAAAAAAAAGTAATTTTAGGTCACGTGGGTAGCTCAACGCCCAAAAAGAAGGTAAAGGGAAATCGGGCAAAAGGTAGCAACTTACAATATTTTGGGTTTAATAAGATGGTTAACTACAACATGTTTTTATTAGGTAATTTTCACAAATCTCAACTTTATAAGGTAGTTTCTTACAAAAATAATCCTATTCCAAATAATTTCTTTATTTAATTGATTTCGATTTTTCATTGACAAAATTACCTTAACTACTTACTTGGAGAGGATGAGTAGATTTTGGAAGGGCATATAGGATAGACCACATTATTGAGGGGAGTAATTATTCATTTGTTCAACTTTGGAGATGGATTAGAAATTGTTTCGTGTTTAAAGGTAAAGAGAATGCAACTTCATTCACTGATGGTTAATAGTATGCCAGAAGAAATATCCACTTTATTAACCTTTTTTTTTTTATTTGGTTTACACATTAACTACACCATCATCAGGTAAATGTGATAAAAGGTTATATGATCCTATTTAAGGACAAGTTCAAGAAATGTCTATATAGAACAACAAAAGCAAGTCTTCCTAAACAATGCATTTTAAAGCGTAACAAAACACAATTAATATATCATAATGTGTGTTTTACAGATTTTAGATGATGTAAGTGGATGAAAAAAAAATAAATCACATGATAAAGAGCAAGTATTACCTGTGACCTTCCAGAATCAGCCATTATCAACCCTTCATCAATTTCATAGGAAAGATGTGATAGTCTCATCAAAACCTTTGTGTAAAACCAAGCTTTCTACATAAGTCTGGAAAGAAATCCGGCTACTCATCATAGTACTTGTTTGGTTGCTTGCAATGTTATAAGACATTGTAATGTGATTGTGAGTGTTGAACAACAAAGACGTAGTGCTCTTATAGACAATACTTAAACAATCTAACACCTTGGAAGCTTCTAGATTTGGTTCTTCCTTAAACCATAGCCTCCATGGATTCTCTCCGCCATCCTTTTCCAAAACCCATATGCAGCTACTTTCAGAGGACATCAATAAAACTCCCAAGGACTCGCCATGGGCAAAAATAAACCTAGTAGTGCTTTCTTTCACAGCATGAGGCAGTTGCATAACACATAACACCAAATTCTTCGACATCAAAGTCATACAAGTAGAGTTTCCTATTATCTTTGCGATTTCTATGAACCCAATATACGACCCCTCCACAACAAACTAACCTTCCTGCGAGTCTTAACCCCGATAAACCCCAATTTGACTTACTCACCGGATTCGGTTATCTTCTCCAAAGGTGATCCGTGAGTGAGTATACATCAATCCAGGCATTATCATTAAATCTATTAGACGTGAAGGTAACCACCTTATGATCACTAGTAGAAGGGGGAAATCCTAAAGCATAAGCTACATAGCTAAAACAACTTCTACAAGGCCTCGCAACAGGAGAAAAAATATCCAATGATTAAAGGGTTCCACAATCGAGCCTCATCCCTACCATTTTCCAACAAAGAAATTGAATATGATTCAGCAATCTTGTTAAATGTATCACTACAATGAAATGTGAAAATACATCCATCGCTATCAGATTATGAGTAACTTTTTGGGAATTGAAGTGTAACGATTAAGATGCAAAGATATGAAATTGGAGGAATCAATGACAGAATACCAGGTTTTCCAAACAGACCTGAATTTTAAGAGGGTTTTTGAAGGTAGCCTTGCCAAGATCTCAATCAACAAATCCGTCGGTAAATAGCGGTCCTCCGGCAATTTGTCGTCCCCTGAGAATTCCCTCTCCATACTACTCATTTTCTCCATTGAAATCAATCAATTTTTTTCATTTGCAGTGTTGGTACTCCGTACTTGGTATAGAACGAGGCTAATATCAATACCGGTTACTTAACATTTTTTTTTTTTTTTTTAACCAAAGTAAACAAAGTTTTTTTCAACAAAAAACAAGCATCATTTGAGTCTATTTGACCCAAAGTTCGGTTTATTGACCATAAAAAAGTGCACTCAAGGCCGTCAAGGGTCACTTAGCTAACTTTATTTGATCGGCCAAAATTTTTTAAGAAAATTCGTTATCAAATTGTTAAGCACTCTCCCCGTTCCCAAATTTCAATAATTGTTTTTCTTCGTAACCAATCTAAACCAACACTTCTGTTTGTACTAATTACTCCCTTCGTCCTTTTATTATATGTTTGTATTCCTTTTTTGGGTTATCAAAATTAAGTGTCTATTTCTATTTATAGATTGTACTTTATTCTCTTTTTGATGATTTGTCATCCGTTTTTTTTTTATATATATTTTGACATCAATTCCCAATACTTTCTCCCTCCTAATTCTCAACCACTTTTTTCTTTCTCTCTATATCTCTTTCTAACCCCCACATGCATATTTGTACTCCCAATTATTAATTAAAAAAAATTTAACTTTCTCAATTCTCGTGCAAAATGGAAAATAGGCATATAATAAAAGGACGGAGGGAGTATTAATTTTTGGGTTTAAGTGATGCTTCAAATTGACATAATTTGACCACAACCCGATACCTATTTAACCCGATTTAGCTTGTAACCAATTTGAACTTAACCTGAATTTATACCGATTTGTAACCAACTTGAACTCAACTTAAATCCGAATTTGACTTGTTCTGAACTTAGCCCAACACCCAATTAAATTGACAGGAATTCTACCAAAAACCAATTTGACCCGTCATTTTGCCTAAGCATTTGACAGCAAAGGGAATGTTCAGATACTTCAGAACTGTTCGGAACTTCGGACGCCTTGCTTCACATTGTCTAAAATGTCCACATCTAACTTTCATTATGCCTAAAAATTTGATGCACGACCAATTCACCAATTACACATTTACACCCTACACTTAAATTCTAAGTACATGACATATACGCATATTTTTCTAAGAATTATTAATTAAATCAGATTCAGTAGATAAAAAATTGAAAAGACAGAGTATGTAATCAATATTCATGAAAAGAAAACAGGGAACATGAAAAAAAAAAAAAAAAAAAAAAAAAAAAAAAGTTACGAACAACTCAACCATACATTGATTGGAAGCGACCCATCTACTTAGAAATTGTTTATCTTGTGCTATCTTACAAAATATAATTGCTACTAAACAACAGCAACAATTACTACTACTAGTGTACTAGCAAAACAAGGAAAAAAATTGTCTAAAAATCAATCGAAAGCGAAGAATATAAGAGCTAATAAGCTCCTAAAAAAGAAGAAAAAACAGCATTATTAACGAACCATGAAATGTAGCTTAGAGTTGAACCTTTCAAAGACCAATTTGTAACCCCTTACTTGCTTGATCACTCAATATTATTTCCTTCAAGCAAGAGTACTAAGCTTTCCACATACCTATCAAGAAACTTAATCCTCACCCAAATAACATCAGAGAGCGCCTTCAATTCATCCTCATGATTTTCGAGGTCGTCGTCCGAAATCGATCCCTTAGGTATGTTACGAAACCACATCTCAACCTTATGACGCGACAAACCCCGGGCAACATTATTTGTAACATCCAATTTATATTGTTTAGTCCAAACCAAATCCGAACCGGAACTCGACTTTACTCCCTTCCATACACTACCATGTTGTCCATCAGGATTACCATAGCAGTCCAAAATTGCCAATGCATTATCCAAAACTGCCGAGCATCTCATGAGATACCGCTCCTCAGCCTTGACCTCGATGTCAGGACATTTCATGCTAGTAAAAGCCTCTTTATCAAGATCGAAACACAGAAAATGCGTCAATTTTGTTGTATTGCTACTTTTCACACTTCCAAGCCAATAAATCTCGTTGTCAAAATTCATAGGCATTGCGAATACATTAAAATACACAGCAGGATTTGCAGGTTTCCTCTGTTTCGGGTTTAACCACAAACGATTCCGTAAGCTGTAAACCTTGGTTCTTGATAAGAATCTCACCGAACATACGGATACTACCTTGTAAGCCCTACTCACGGAATCGAACCCGAACCCAAACTTGACCCTATAATCCCACCCTCCCGGTATAAAACATGGGATTCCTAACATCTTTCGGATAGACGGATTCCACAGTATAATTTCCGAGTTGTCGGTTTCGTGTTTTGGAATAGTCGTGTACATTAGTAACACCCCATTAACATAACTGGCAACACGGGTAACCACAGTATCTTGGAAGATTTCTGGTGTAATGAGCTGATCAACTTGAGTAAAGGAATCGGTTCGACGAATGGCTAACGCTCCTTGCTCTCTTTGACGGCATAAGAAGTGGTTTCTCGGTTGAGGTTGAAGTTGAAGATGAAGTGAGGTGAAATCTTGATGGGTAATAATGGAGTTCCATTCTTTGCAAATTGACCTTGCTTTTAACATGCTTTTTACAGGGAGTTTTGTAAAAATATTTGTGATTAATTCACTTGGTAATTTATCGAACGGATTAATCTTCGTCGTCTTCTCATTCATCCTGCTTTTCGATTGAGTATTCTTCATTGACGAATTAGATTGATTGATTCAATTGAAGAAAGCGCTTAATCGAGGGAATTATTGGCAGGAAGGAGAAAAATTAATTTCGGGTTTCTTTAATTTGATTGAATGTTAGTTATGACACAAAAATACGGATGATTATATAGAAACGTTTTGTTGGGTTAGGGGTTATTTTAGTAATTTAAGAGGGACTAAATTTTAACATTTTCTTATTGTAAGAAAATTTTAACAAGTGTACGGCTGATGCTGTGATTTGATCATAGATATCCAAAATTACCCAAGATAATTTGACATGCTTCTTTTTTTATTTTTTTTATTTTTTAACAAGCTTATAATGTGAGTATGTGACTCTTAATGCTCTTGATTTTTTTTCATTTTTTTTATTTTGGGTACTTGATAAAATAATTAAGTACGGAGTATAAAAAGTTAGATTCAAGTAGAGTTATATAATTGGTGCACGATTTTTTGTTATGTTTTTAAAAATTAAACATTTATATATATTTATATGATAAAAATTAAATATTTATATATATTTATATAAATAATATGTTTTTCCTTACATATTATTCACACAGTACGGTCAAAGGGGAGGTAGTGAATAGTGTAAAAGTCAAAGCAGGTTAAGTGAAAAAGAACAGAGGAAGCATAATCTAATATGATCTTTTTTTTTCTGATTAGATTTGACGGCTTGATTTGACTAAACTTTGATTTTATAGGTAGGCTAACCCGGTAGGGAAAAATATATCAAATGAAATGTGGGTTATTATACCTACTAGTAATGTAGTATGTACTCCGTAGTAATTAGACGTGGCTGACTATGGTGTAACAATCTTGGCTCGTCACTTTGGAGTGTATGTGTTATTATAACTAGTAGTAGCTTCCGATAGAAGCTTAAGTATATGAGTTGATTCAATTGAGTCACTTAATCAATAGGGAGGTTAAGGGTTTCAATGTACCAAAGGATGGATAAGGAGAGAAGAAAAGCCGGTTAGATCAGGATCGGTACTCTCTTTGATATTTCGCCTTGGCAAAAACAGCATATGGGTGATGGTTAACGACGAGGATGCCCACGAGTCGTGGAGTAAATGGTTTTCAACATATTCATCTCATGGTTCGTAGGAGCTTTTCCAACATCATGGCTGTAACATTATTCATATGTGCTATGATGATAGAGAGAAATACAATGTCCTATGATCTCAAAAATCGTCTTTTTGATGATTTAAGGACTTCTGAATGTCTAATGGTGCTTATATAAGCTATATCAACTTGATTTTAAATTTTATAAAGAATATTGAACTTAGGTTGTTTAATAATACTTAATACTCCAATCTGATGTTGATGTTGTCCTTAACACTTAGACCATCTCTATTGATGAGACTCAACTTTGAGTATTGAAATACAAAATGAGTTGTTTTTTTAACTCCAATGGTAATACCCAACCCACTTCTCAATTTAGCAACTCATGTGAAGTTTAATTTTCAAATGGTGAGACTCTCTAAAGTATACTAATGTCACTTTCAATTTATGGCCCACCAAATCTATATTGTAAGGTTTTTTTTTTTTAAAATAAATTACAAAACATATTATAATATTGATAAAGGGCCTACACTTTTTGTCAAATGAGACTCAAAGTTGAGTATCCATATAAACTTAGCAACTTTCTTTTGGAGTTGCTAGGTTTAAATATCAACTTATTGGTATCCTTTGCAAAAAATACTCTCTCTTTCCTAAAAAAAACTCCCTAAGTCTCATCATTGGAGATAATCTTATCTAGCTAATTGCTATTAACACTTTGCCTGCTGCAGTTTGAAAATTTGGAATTTAGTGGAAACCTAATACGGTCACATTATACCACCTATAAACGCCACCAATCCACCAATAAACGCCACTTAAGAAGCTAATAATCAAGAGCCTTGTCAAAGAGAAACAGAGGAAACAAGAGGTTTTATAGAGTTGAGAAGCAATGGTGATGTTCTCTCGAGATGTGATCTCGCTCAAGATACCCCCAGAGAAAACAATTTTTGTAGGACAACTGATGGAGGTCCCCTATTTGATCACAGCCGACCCCCTGACTCATGTAATGGAGGTCCAGATGGAGACTTGGATAGAACCGATGCCAGAACCACCAGAATTAGTGGTGAACCTGATGATCCCAGTAGAGATTAATCGAATTATTCGGTTAATTGAACAAGCGTTCTTAAGTACAAAAAACTCTTCCATTAATATGATGAATGGTAACTTAGCTAATTTGGCTTTGAACAAAATACCTATCTCTTGCATGATTTGGAACGTGCAGGGGGCAGGAAGTAGGGAATTTATAGCTGCGTTAAAAGAAATAATTAGGATTCATAAACCGAATGTTATTGCTCTAGTAGAAACCCATATGGGTGGTACTCAAGCAGTTAAAATTGCGAGCATAATTGGTTATGATGGCCATTCTAGAGTGGATGCACAGGGATTCAGTGGGGGGATATGGATTTACTGGAAGAAGGATCTTGTAACTGTTGAACCAATTTACAAACACAATCAATTTATTACCATGGAGATACAAAGAGTAGATGGCATGCCTTGGTACTTTACGGCTGTTTATGCGAGCCCTGATCCTACAAAAAGACAAGGTCTTTGGAGAGAGTTGAAAGAATTTGCAATTTCAAATGATAAACCTTGGATGTTAGGAGGTGATTTTAATGAAACTAGATACCAATGGGAGAAGTTCAAGTTGTGCAGATACTTCTCGAAGGACTGCTCGTTTCAACGAATGGATAGAGGACTTGGGTTTAATGGAGATAGAGTTTAGTGGTGCTTCTCATACCTGGGCCAGAGGTACGAATGTGAACACATGGAGGAGTGCCAGATTAGACAAAGCTATGTGCAATGGAGAGTGGAGTTTAAGATTCCCGAATGCCTCAGTGAAAATATTACCTGCTATTCAATCGGATCACTGTCCGATTCTCATTGCCCCAAATGGATTTGCACCAATTTCGGAAATCAACAAGCCTTTTCGCTTTCAAGCTGCTTGGATGACCCATGAGAATTTCCGGGATTTTGTGGATTCAAAATGGGACAAAGAAGCACCATTGATACCCCATCTGAACCGTCTGGCTGAAGAGCTTCAAGAATGGAATAAGAACACATTCCATAATATCTTCAAGAAGAAACGTAACCTGCTGGCCAGAATTGCAGGGGTTCAAAGAGCTCTTGCACTTCAAAAAGCAAGAGACTTAATAAAGCTTGAATCGAAATTAAGGGTGGAGCTAGATGGAGTTCTAGCACAGGAAGAATTACTTTGGTACCAAAAGTCAAGGGTGGACTGGATCCGTGATGGGGATAGAAATACCACTTTTTTCCATCTAAGTACTATTGCTAGGAGATGGCGTAATAAAATTTCAGCAATAAAGAAAGATGTGGATGGGGATTGGATTACAGATAAGCCAGTACCAAAACACCATAGTTGAATATTTTGAGAAATTATTTAATAGTGAGGAGAAGCAACCCCATGATGACCTGCCTCGTGACATATTCCCTGAGTTTACAGCTCAGGCATGGAATAACCTGACCAGACCCTTCCTCAAGTGCGAGATTGACAAAGTTGTTCAAGAAATGGGCTCTCTCAAGGCCCCGGGTCCAGATGGCTTCCAAGCCTTATTTTATCAGAAGCATTGGGATCTGGTAGCAAGCAATGTATATATTGTAGCGTTTGATGTTCTAAATGGTAAGGGATTACCGCATACTCTGAATGACACTTTTTTAGTCCTAATCCCAAAAGTTGATAAGCCGGAGTTAGCCTCCCAATTTCGCCCTATTAGCTTATGCAATGTGATTTATAAAATAATCACGAAAACTATTGTGAATAGAATTAAACCCATGATGCCTCACCTTACTTCTTGTACGCAAACAAGCTTTGTTCCGGGAAGACAAATAACCGATAACATTGTTATTGTTCAAGAAGTAATTCACACTATGAGAAACAAAAAAGGAAACACAGGATACATGGCTATCAAAATTGACTTTGAGAAGGCGTATGATCGTCTACGATGGGATTTTAAACGGGATACTTTAATGGAGATTCGTTTCCCTATTTTGCTAGTTGATGTGATAATGGAGTGTATTACAACCTCCTCTATGCGTGTACTGTGGAATGGTGAACCAACTCAAGCTTTTTCCCCTAAGCGAGGCATACGGCAAGGAGATCCTCTATCACCGTACATCTTTGTATTATGTATGGAACGCCTGAATCAATTGATTGAAGAATCGGTCATACTTAATAGGTGGAAACCTATAAGAGCCAGTAGGGATGGTCCAAAGCTTACAAACTTGGCTTTTGCAGACGATATAATTTTGTTTGCTAAAGCAACTTATGAACAAGCTAACTGGGTGAAGCATTGTCTGGAAAAGTTTTGTGCAGCTTCAGGGCAATTAATCAGTTACCCAAAGTCTAGAATTTATTTTTTTGGGAATACAAATGATACTCAAAGGCAGGAAGTTACTAACTTCTTGGGGATTGAAGAAACTGCTGACTTAGGAATGTATTTGGGCATGCCTACTATAACAAGCAGGGTAACTCGTGATACCTTTGGTTATTTATGTGAAAAGATAGATCGCAGATTATCGGGGTGGAAAACAAAATATTTATCACTTGCAGGGAGAATCACTCTAGCAAAATCAACAATTACCACCATGGCTTCCTATGCTATGCAAACTGCCAGATTGCCAAGAATGATATGTGATGATATTGATAAGAGAGCAAGAAGATTCATCTGGGGAGGAGATGAGGAAAAACGTAAAATTCATTTAATTTCATGGGAAAATCTGCAAAAACCGAAGGAGTTGGGAGGGCTTAACATTCGTTCAGCCAGGCAAGCCAATATGGCTTTTCTAACTAAGCTTGGATGGAGAATTCTTACGGAGCCAAATGCTTTATGGCCTAGAGTTCTTAGGAGTAAGTACTGCAAAGGGAGATGTGATGTGGATATGTTTGAACCAAAGACAAATATGTCTAATGTATG